TTATCATGAATTTTCTCTTTTGAATCATGTCATAACGTTAAATGAATGTTATTTAGTAATATATCTTTGTTACGTGTTCATTCTTGTAATTAGAGCGTTATTTCTAATCTAAAATGAATAAATTATACTCATCGAAATGTTCAAGATAGTCTGAATGGAAGTCAAATCAATTAGCATTTATCTAACTTCTCTTTCATGCCGCTTTGGACACTAAAGTGCAGCAAAAATTATCAAAAAGGTCGTGTAATCTAAATGCCCGTGAGAGGGACGGCGAGAGTGTCTGACAATTCATGATAAATCGAAGGAGGAGAAATCAAGGTGCAAAAAGACAAAATAGAAAAGACTTGACCAATTATTTGAAAATTGCTCATTTTGATTTTTTAGTTTTTTTGTGTACTAACAGAGATACGGTAGATGAAGTAAAGCGTGAAGGATAAATACAATACAAATGATATGAAGTAATGCCATAAACCACAAGGAAATGGTGTCTAGAAAATTTATTGTTTGTTAACGAATGTCTAATACTAAGTTTGCCAAATATGCAGAAATTTAGCATACATTATAACATTACAAATAATCTTTCAACCTTACTTTCTTCTGTCAAAATCTTTTTGTGCTTGGTTTTTTACACTTTTTATAAAGTGTGGCAGACATGAATGAACAATAGTTTTATAAAACATTCGTTTGTTGACAACCAGGGCCGGTGACACCAGTGTCTTCCTAGCATCAGAAATCAGAAGCAGTAACAACGGAGTAGAGCCAAGAGAAAATGGGACTACAATGATGACGTTATAAATGAACTCGTTAGGAGATCATTTGTGTTGACTGAAGCTTCAAACCTCCACATGTAAAACAGACCAATCTAAGTGATGTTTTGCACATATCTTGGAAGTCGTAGTTTCGGCTGAATTTGTATTTAGTGTTTATTTTGTATTTTTAGATACAAAATATTTAGTATGTAAAACGATAAAGACGATGTATACGACTATACATCGTCATATAAATGGTAGTTGTGTTTTTATGTACTCTCTACATCATTAGTCAACGACCAAAATAATCAACAGAGATTTAGAATGTAGAAAGAGTATGAAAGAGAACCGAGTGCGAATTATTAAATTTTTACACCGTTTAGAGAACGCCACTGAAGAGAGAACGGTTTTTGAATTTTTTTGTAGAAGACTGAAAAGAGAACGGTTGTGAGAGATATTTTTTCGCTGTATATGTGCAGTTTTCTAAAGTAGAATTTTTCATACGCACGCTTCTTCATATTTAAGGCGCGCGTAATTCAAAAATCAAGTACTATTTTATTTTTAGCTTTTTTATATATGATTCGATAGAGAATTTGAAGCTGATCACAAATATTGCCTTTTTAGCCTTCCCAGTGCACGTTTGCGCTTCGAAAATTTGAAAATAGGAGAAGAGTCATAAAATCCGAAAAACTTTCCCGTTTCGAAAAAAGTGGAATACTTTTTCTTCCTTTTATTTTGAAACTCTCAAACAGCATTTTTCTAATTCAGCGTTGAAAATTGAATTGCGAAATGTGTTTTTGATGCTTTTGCGCAAACAATCGAAACAAGAAGAAGAAAATAATAATATTAGCGACACTTCACATCATCGATACAGAAGGTTTAAGAGTACTACAATATAAAGATAGTGAAGATACCGTACAGAAAGACAATCGATTGGCCTCATTTGCTGCCTTGCTAGTCGATGCAACTATTGTGCTTGTTAATGGAGAACAGGATGAAGCAGTAAAAGATGTTTTACCCATTGTTATGTTAGCTTATCAGCGATCAAAATTAGCCGAAACATTTGGTGAACAGTTAGCATCAATGATGTTTTTGGTTTATCGTAGCATAGACGTTAATCAAGCTGATCGTAATTTGAAATCAAATATTCATGCATTAATTGAAAGTCTTGGAAATTCATTTCGATCATTACAAAATTATGGCAATGATGAGATCGATAATACGGAAACAGCAAATTATAGCTGTTCATGTATAACATCATTTGGTGATTTTAGCAGCGATGTAGGAGACATTCTAGGTGAAGCGACGGAAGGTGCACCATCAGAAGATACGCCAAACACTGCATATAGGTTACCCGTTATGAAACTACCAGAATATATTCATAAACGTGTTACAACATCGTCATCAGGTGTATCGGGATTGACATGGAAAGCATGAATTTTGAATGAATTTAGTTGCTATTTAGATACCGTATGGAAGTGTATTCTTTCGTCCAATTTTAGTTTAACGTATTGATTTAACGTTAATTTAACATTTAACGTTTCATGTGCTCTTAAAAGAAAATCATATGACGAAATTGAAAAATTATTCACAAATGCAAACTAGCAATTAGCCGCTACTTATTATTCAACATATGGAGCCGTTGAAAAAGAAATTCTTGATGATTTAAAAGAGATTTAAAATCAGAAAAAAACTTTTGGAGAAAATATTTATTATAAAGATGAAATACAAGTTCGCAATAGAATAATTATTCAACAAAATTAAATATTATATTATCTAAAAATATAAAAGAAAGTGATGAATATAACGAAAATATTAGAAAAAACCAATAATAATATTCATTGGCTTAATTGGAAAATTGATCGATTAGAAAAATGGCATGCATTTAAACGAAAATAAATTAATTTCTAGCAAAATATTATTGAGGGAAAAGTACATACGTTATTTTCGTTTGATATAATTGTACATTATTATGCGCGTTGTCTCTGAAATAGAATAAAACAGTTATTCCAACAAAATACAATTTCAGACGATGAACTAGAAATCAGATTTCAAGAATTATTTGAAACAATTTTAAGTGAAACAGAAGTAAAACATCCTGTTATAAAAATTCATTAACAAATTTTACAAGTGTATAAACAGAATAGTGCTGATATAAAATGGAATTTAGATACAACAGATATCAATTTAAATTCCTTTTTAAAAGCACAGTAAAAAAGAACAATTTAAAAGTACAATGTAGTCAATTGCGTCACGAGAAGTAACAGATAAAAAAAGAGAAACTTTATTATTTAGCGAATTAATTTTCAATACAACAAAATTAGTCGAAACAATCACATATTATTCAGATTATATTATTATAACAGCAATAACGAACACAACTAACAAATTAAAATGAAATATAAAATTCAAAAAGATTCAACCGAAGAAAAAGCACATAAATTAGTGTATACAATATTGTTAGATGAATTAACTGTGATTCAACATAAATGGAATTCAATCAACAATGTTGTGAACCGTTTACAACAGGAAAAAATTCAGTTTAAAACAATTTTTTATCGACACGTCAAACGGTATTGTTGGTGCAAATCTATTGACTAATGAAACAAATTTAATTCTAAATCAAAATTTAAAAGATGGTTTTATAAAAACATTTACTTCAGATATCATTTTATCATTACAAACTACAAAAATTTGTGCATGATTATAAAGTTTTACAATATTGATTTAGATCTAATTGATTTAATTGAACAAAAGAACATTAAGCAGTTAATTAAAAATTTAAAAAACTCACATATTCATTATATGTCAGTTGTAAATAAATTGTCAAATGTAAATTAATTAATTAAAACAAAATTTTTAAACTCACAATGGACACATTTTATACATATGATTGAAGAAGCTATAACATCAGCTGCTGATGAAGCTCGAATGACTGATGAAAATAACAGTCGAACAAGATTATTTATTCACCGTATATTCGATTTGTTACCAATTTCGTTACGACAACAATTTTCATCGTTAGATGCTCATAATTATCCTCATGGAAAAAAATAGTTGCACACAGTATTTTTAAGATATTTTCCTTACGAAAATATACTTTTACAAAAATGATCACATATTCTGATAGCACCTGGAATTCTCTACAATTCTGTATATTTAAATCTGGCCTTGTATTTATCTGCTGAAAAATACATTGGGTGTAATGACGGTCCCCTCATCGTCAGATTCTCAGAAATTGTAATGAGTGTGGCATCTCAATATTTTCTATTTTTCTCGTATTTTCTTTAGAACCCAAAGGTTAATGTTTTTTTAAGAAGATGCGCCGCAAAATGCTCTACAAAACCATACCTAACCTTTTATTTTAGAACTCCAATCAAGAAAACTACGCAGATTATACGAAAGACAAAAAAAATAAAAACTTTGAAAATCTGTTATTTTTTTCCACCTGAATCTTTTTCTTTTGCTACTATTTCCGTAAAAAAAGGGTTGCAAAAGTGAGAAGTCAATTCTTTTTGTACTTCTGAATGTGCTCTTTCTCGTGGTCTGTAAAAAATCTTTTAGAACAGATGGTGTGGAAAAAACTAAAAAAGTAGCGAAAAACTGCACCTTTTTGGTACTTGTCAATTGGGGGTACCTTCACTGTACTCAGATTATTTTTCAGCAAATAAATGTAAGACAAGACATAAATATATAGGACGATAGAGAATTTTAGGTGCTATCAGAATATATAATTACTTTTATAAAAAGCAATTTCGATAGTGATGATAAATTGAAAAGGCAGGGTGAAGAAATAGTAACAAAATGCAGTCCGTGGGAATCTGACAATGTGGGGGCCGTCATTGCTTTGTTTTTCAACAAATAGATACAAGACAGGACATAAGTATACAGAATTGTAGAGAATTCCAAGCGCTTTCAGAATATGGGGTCACTTTTGTAAAAGTATGTTTTCGTAAGGAAAATATCTTAAAAATACTGTGTGCAACTATTTTTTTCCACGAGGATATATTATTTGTGATGGTCAAGATATACATGTTTTTACAGATATTAAAAATAATATTCTTGCTACGTTGTCGAAAACAGTGCCAGATTTTAGTACTGATGAATTTGGAATCATGATTGAATCAATACGTGCTCAAATAGTCCATCGGCATCAAAATGATATTATTAACGGAATGGCTATTGGCACTCCCGGGAGTGTCAACAAGGAGCTATTGGCACTCCCAGGGCGTGTCAATAAGGAGCTGTTGGTACTCCCAAGAATGTCAACAAGAAGCTATTGGTACTCCCAGCAAGTGTTTGGAAGTGTCAACAAGGAGCTATTGGCACTAGCGGGAGTGGCAACTAGGAGCTATTTCCGTCGCCAGCCAAACTTAGTGTAAAAGCTATGTCGGAAAAGTGGTTTATTCTCCAGAGCCGAGCATTTTAAATTAAATGTTGTTCTTTTAAAGCTTTTTTAATTTTTGAGTTGTTTGTAAATGAGTTCTAATTCACGAGAAGTATAAGTTATTTCAAGTTTCTCTCCAGTGCGATATGGTTAAATGAAAAAACAGTGTCACCGGCGTAAGTTCAAATAGTGCACGTATATTCTGTTTTCCGAAAAATGATACCTGTTTTTTTTTCAAGGAAAACGCTGTGTGTTAGAAATTATACGGTTGCAAAGTTTACAAATCAGCGTTGACCTTGTTGACACTCCCGGGAGCGCCAATAGACTCACTCTATTATTAAACTACGTTGTGGAGAGCCCTGCCCAATATGTAAAGTACCTTGCCATTTAGAAGCTGGCCATAATTCCTATGAAATAGATTTACTGAAGTTAAGTGGTCAAGCAATTGTTGGTCGAGCTATACAGATATTATTAACAGCTTGGAAAAATACAACAAATGATCTCTCTGAGAAATTACACGATTCTTGTCATCAACCGCGTGGTCTCATTGGATGTTCTTGGATAAAACATCGTTATTTATTAAATCAATTGGTCGCTTCTGATTGTACAACGTCTGCACTTTTCACTCATCGTTTTAAATATAAGGATGAGCATTATTCTTTCAAAAAGTTTTGCAAAATATTTCCAGAATGGCAATTACCAACCTTAACTTTAAAAGATACTTTGGAATTAAGAGAATACATATTCTACAAGCATCAACTGGAGTTATCAAATGAATATTCAAAACTGAAATGTACAGAAATGCCAGATAGGTATAAATATCATACGTTAATAACTATTAAAAACCACTTACAACAAGTGACAAATGAAACTTCAATTAATTAAAATATTTTTTTCTCACTTCTTCTATTTGCGTTGTAAAGTTGTTTTTCTTCTAAACGTATTTATTTTATCAGTCCTATACTTTCTGATTTATATTTATCAATCAAGATTAATAAAGAATTTATTCCTGATCAAAACAAATAGTTTGTGTTCAATATGCATAAGATTATCATTCCCTTTATGTTGCCTTGTTAGAGAAACACAATCTCATAAAACTTTTTCTTCTTTTAAAGTTTCATTCTATGGTGAACAGTTTGCGATTTGACGACGGACACAATAACTCATCTTCATTTCATGACAATATTTTATACTACCATACAGTCCGTCAACTTCAATGCCAAATGCTTTTACTACTATTTGAAGAATGTTAAACACGTGTTCGATCATACGGATATTTTGATCGACAAAAATCATCACACCACCACTACCACTATTATTACCAATGAAACTGTCACAGTTGGACAACGAATATTTAAGATGGAAAAGTTTTTTCTTCTATTGTTTACAATTTGTTTCATCTGTATTGTCATTTGTTGTTGAATCAAGTAATTGTTTGAATCATTGGTTATTGTATATTTCTTGAAATAGAAAATAATCCACAAAACTACTGGTCGTTTCCCGAAGATATTGACAAAATCATTTATATTAGAACAATATAACGGAAATTTGATTGTCTTTACATTGTTCTATATCATTATGAAATATTTTTGTTGTCGTTCATTAAACAATAAACCTTGGAAAGGGGAAGGAAAAGTAGATGAAAGATTCGAACAAACTAGAAAGATAGACTACCCTACCTTTTTAAAACCGAATGCAAACATTTTTTCCATCGTTTAGTAAGATCGAGTAGACACTTCTCTTCAAAATGAGACCTGTCACAGCTGTCCACAACCTTTTTTCATTGAGTTATGACTTTTACGCCAAAAGCGCCATCAGCAGAAGTCTCACAAAAAAGAGCTATTATAGTAGGGGTGTTAATTTAGTGTTACTTTGGAAAATAAATATAAATGAATCATTTATACTTAAAAAATAAAGATAAATTTTTCATTTATATTTAAAAAATAAATATAAATAAATGAAAAAAAAATTTATCTTTATTTTATAAAAGTAAATGATTCCTTTATATTTATTTATTTATTTCTACCTTTACTTTTAAAAATAAAGGTAGAAATAATAAAGGAATCATTTACTTTTATAAAATAAAGATAAATTTTTTTTCATTTATTTATATTTATTTTTTAAATATAAATGAAAAATTTATCTTTATTTTTTAAGTATAAATGATTCATTTAGTTTTATCCATTATTATAAATGAAAAATAAAACTAAATTAACACCCCTATATTATAGGCTGATGTTCGCTTTGGAGCTTGTAGTGTAAAAGTTATAAATCAATGAAAAAAGGTTGTGGAGAGCTGCGGAAGGTTTTGAAGAGAAGTGTTTGCTCGATCTTACTAAACGATGGAAAAAATGTTTGCATTCGGTTTTAAAAAAGTAGAGTAGTAAAATAAAACAATATTTTACGAAATATAAATGGATAATGAAACTACAAATAATAATAGAAGATTTCAGTAATAACTACAAAGAGAAATATACTTTAAAAATCAGAGCTTTCAGAATTATTCAATCTTGTGACACTGACATTATTCCTAAAATCAACGAAAACACTCTTATTTTTTTCATGTACAATCTAAATAGTAGGGTGAGTAATTCAATGTGTTAATATCACCATCGTGTATTGACTTATCAACTAATAATTCAACAATTGCATCTATGACATTAAGTTGTCAATGAACACTGGTACGATCGTGTTGGATAAACACCTTTGAAAATATACTTTGTGAACGTGGTGTACAGATATATACAACAAGTGACGACATAAGAAAGAAAACGAAGTTAACTGGTTTTTATTACCAAAGTAAGATCTTATTACAGTCATAATGATCATACAATCTGATAAAAAATACTTTAGAAGGGTATCTGAAATGTCTTCATTTGATTGTGTGTGATTCTGAACTTGTCGATCATTCAAGCTGTTGTAATGGCAAATTTGTATCATCGCCATCAATTAATGATTTGTGCGAATTTCTACAAAATACCCGTTCATTTTCTGTTATTATTGTTTGTTTTGAACAGGAAATTGAGCATGAATGAATTGCATAGAATGATGTCAATGGTCGTGTGGTCAAATTCTGCTAGTGCTGAAAATTATTCATTCATCAGCACCATAAGTTATTTGTATTGCAGAATTATTGCTTGTAAAACGATTCAACAGTAGTATACAATTGACCTCAGTTCTTTGATTTTACGAGAGAATATTATCATGTGTCTGATCGACGTTTTCATGAGAAACACTAAAGTAGAAGTTACTCTTGATGTGCCCTATAGTATCGACAATCGCGTTATCCGTATGAACAAATATTTAGACCTGCCGAACAAATGCTCAGTCAGATATACAAATCTTTCAGTATTTGGCAAATATCAAGAAGTCAATCGAACTCTTGTAAATGTTTTCTCATGCGTAAGCCTTTATTATTCAAATGACAAGGAGTGATATTTGTGCGATTGCTAATGTGAAATGGTCAACTAATACTAGAATAATTGTTTCTAATTAAGATTTTCAAATATTTAGTTACAAACTGTTAATAGACCGCCATCATTATTCTGCATCGTTCACGTTTTCAGATGAATGAGAAAAGCGAACGAAATCTAGACAAGAGTTAAATGATGAATGCCCATAAATAAAAATGTTTTAAAGCTCAATAGGATTGGAAACTCTTTCTTATTTACTCAATATTTTATTACAATCAGAAAACTCAAAAGTTTAATGTCTGATTTTTCACCAGACAGAAGGCGTTCTCAGCCATTTGAGCAGTTTCTTCAAAAAAGAATGAACTGGTCGTGTAGAAACAAAGCGACGGAAGATAACAACGATAAATAGTAACTTGACCGCTTCGTTTATGAACGCTATTCTCTCTCTTTATTGTCTCTTTCGTGCTACTCCTTTTTCTTTCTTTCGTGTCGGTCATCATTCACTAATACGTGGCCTCTCCGAACAATATGTAAGAGAAGTTTAAATTTGCTTCGTGAGCACAGTGGATACCTTTGTTCATCATACTCATAATATAGTGACCCTATCTTCGTCATGAGAGAAAAAAAACAGTCGTGGCTCACATACAATAACATCTTTCACTGAGGAAGGAGAGAAATAAAAAAGAACATGTATTGTGATACACTCATGTACTGAAACACCGTCTCAAAGAAAGATGACATTATTTGCGAAATTTATTCAGAACCATCGATGAAATATCTTTCCGACCGATTTTTGATCCATCCGACTTTAACTTCATGTTTATTTATCATTGGCAAGCCAAAAACTTGATGCCTAGAATTTTTAGTTTTAGGATCCGCATAGTAGTTCCTAGTATTCTGAAAAAATTGAAAATAGCCCGTTCTTTGAAAATCTCATATCTCGGTCAAAAAGCGTTTGTTTGATGTAAAATGTTGACTACAGAGGTTTTTCAACATGGGCTATCGAATCAACATGCTCAGATTTGAATTTGGAAATTGATCATGTTATGTGAACCCAGAATGGATTGGTGGATCCTTTCTTAAAAAGGTTTATTGAACAAGTTGTGCAACCTGTAGAAAAGATAATATTTTTGAGATAATAACTCTATTAAATTATTTCGGTGTATTGATTAGTTATAAGTTGCTTCTTAAAGTTTTTAACAAAATGCTTAGCGATTCATATTTAGAGCATAATTTTTGGGATAATTATGTTCAAGGTTTTTCTTTAGATTATACGTCCTGTGAACAATTTGACGAATAACGCACTTTAACATACATAGTTTGTTTCTCTCCGAACATCATCTTGGAATAATACCGATACAGTTATGATTTTTCATTGTTATGGTTTTTTATCTCTTTATATTTCTTTCTATATTCTGTTTCTTCAAAAATCATTATATGTATTGTAAAAATATTCAACTATTTCTCGGTTTCCTTCAATGTCTGTTTTCTCTAATTAATCAACTGATAATGTCAGAATAAAGTCGAAAAGAACAAAAACATATACAGCATTTTTCATTGAATAAATGCTTTCAAAAAGCTTTTTAGTTTCTTTAACTTATCAATTAAAAGGTTCTTTTGAATAGATCTAGTCACTTCTTCATGAAAAAGTAAATAATACACAAATACCTCTTTGAGAAATGTTGAGTTTCACCCAAAAAATTCAGATTGGAGAAACACCGAATTTTTCAGGAAAAAGATCAAGTTCTTATGAAAAGCTATACTACTCAGTATACTCAGACTATCAATTAGTTTATGAATCTTGTTAAATGTTGAAAATTAATGAGTACAAATTAAATGATCCGTATTTTTTGTAATTTCTCAGTATATTTTGCTCAGTATTATATGCACATTATCAGTAAACAAACCAAACAATCAGTATCAAATTTAATGCTCAGTAGATATTGTATCTGCTCAGTTAAATAATCGTTTGCTCATTAAATTAATAGTTTTATAAATATTAAAACTAAAATATCAGTAATTAATTACGTTTGCTCATTAAAAATTTCGTTTTTTCATTAAATGAATAGTATTTACTTTACCAGTAGTAAACATACACAGGCTATGTCACATAGTATCCCTCGATGGTCACATACAAATGTTGACCCAGATCTCGTTCTCTTTCTGTTCTATATATTTTTCTTCTATCATCTCTCGTTCAGATGTTGTTTGTCATCGTCTTTTCTTGACCTACTTATCGTATTTTATTACAGTTGTTCGATATTTCACAGTTACATAAGAGAATGGATATATCGTCTTTTTTCTTTGTTTTCAGTTTAACTAAGGAGAAGGAGATTCACGAATTATTCCTTGTTTTCTCCTGTACCTATCTCTATATAAATACTTCGTTTCATCAATAAACTAAGCTTATTTTTCGATTCTAAATTTGTTATCACTGATTTTGTATAAAAATGGCAACGACAATGACAGTTATTGAAATACCCTCTTATGTTTCTGATGAAGAGATGGATATAGAGAAAGCGGTATGTGACGGAAAGAAGAAAAAAAGACAAAGAAATTGGGTGAAGGAGGTCGTGTTCAACAACGATAAAGAAGCTGAACAAGCGATCAAAGAAGTAAAAAGGATTGAAACTGAAACCTAAAGCAATAATCGAAGTAAAAAGTTTGGTCCAACTGCAATTATGGTTATGTGTTGGTTATAGTTACGTGTATGGTTATGTGTTGGGCTCATATGCGTAGAAACGTTGTTAAAAAAATAGAAGCAATGGTAGAGAAGTTAGAACAAGAACATTTGGTGAACGATATAGACACATTGCAACTGGCACAAAGTGAACGAATGTTTAGCAAAGCCTCTAATTTATTTCTTGAAAAGTGGACAAAAAAGCTGCCGGCATTTATAGAATATTTTCAAAGCGAGTGATTAACGTCACACAATACATGATATGAAGGTGTGCGACATTTCACACCAAGCACAAATAATGTCTTTATCGCGATTTAAAGTATTAGCACTCGAAATTGCTGAAAAATGGTCAAAGTCGTATGAAAGAGGTCTAAAACAATTTAATGAAAAGCAAACGGTGACATTGGATTTACGGACAAATGCATACCAATGGGTTAAATCAAACAAGTCGATTCTTTTCAATGAACTTGATGATACAATTGAATATTATTATTCCTTTGATCAATATAAAATTAAAGCATTCAATGTTTGGTGTGTCACATTACCAGTATAAGATTTGATCTCTAGGGTGGTTGCTTATCCGGAATTAGTGAAAACTGATCCTGTCCTTTAGGCAAGACACCTGAGGGTGACCTCAGGCAAAAATTTCAAGAGACATTTTGTGGCTGCCTTCCAAGTTAAGCTTAGATGAATACCGTTTCTCAACATGCCCAATTCGAAATGGTCTCCCGGCTTGAATCGTGGCGAATAAAAAGTAGGTAGTTTTCATACGAATAGAGCGACTATGATCGGAATTAGATAGAATTAGGTTGGAATTTGGATCTGATGAAACTTTCGTGAACTCTGATTTATTTTATTAGAATTTGAATAATATATATTGGTCCCTTGTACATTGTGCAGTTCAAAAGTTATTTTCTTTTGTTGCTACAGCTCAAGTGAAATCATGTAATAAAGAAAACCAAAATATAAGTGATCCCAGCGTCACCTCTTGATTGATGACCAATATCGCGTCACCACAGCGTCACCTCCTGATATATTGGCAATATAGCTGTTTTTATCCTAATCCTTTTCAGTGATTATTTAGCGTAATCATAACATTTCATATTTATTAACCACAGCGCCCTTTATAACAGCTGTAGATTTGCGACCTCTGTCGGCTGTTACGATCTACGTGAATTTTTCAACTGATCAGAAAAGGTGTACGAGGAATTCAGAATTTTGTCTACATTTAATTAAACACACAATCTCTTGTTCCACTGTTGTGTGTAAAGACCAAATAGCGTTTTCGAATTGGTTGTGAGTAAATTGAACATACTTTTTAGTGTATGAATATTTTTTCCTAGAAAGACAAGGTAACGCTCGTCTCCACTCGCTCGGTCCCTTGACTTTATTAAGTTAGATCTGCGCTAGCGAACGTCCTTTGATGACTCTTAAATCGAACTCAATGCTCACGCCTCCCTTCGTTCGGTGCTCGCTGGGGGCCTAACTAAGGCATCTTCTGGAGTTTTGTTCATTTTTTATGTATAAAGTTCGTACTCTGATATTTAACTATAATATATAAATCAAGAGTCTCTAGAGGTCTAAACATAATTCTGAATTCAAAACAATGCTCACTGGAAACCTACCTAAGACATCTTCTGGATTTTTTACTCTTTTCATGTGTAACGTTCGTAAACCAATATCAATAAAGCAAAAATCTCAAAAGGTCTAAAACTATTTGTGAATTCAAAACAATGCTAACGCTTCCCCACTGTCGGCGTTCCCAACCAGTATAGATGAGAAACTTATGAACTTCTCTAATTCCACCAAAAAACCATTTAATGTAATATAAAGTTAAAAGGTTTTCTGCACACCTTCTGCAGACCCCAAGGACGTTGGAAGTATTTCTAATCGATTCGTTATAATAGATTATCTATACACTATCGATTTTATTACCCGTATACCACTTTTTTGTATTGTCACAGCTGACTGCTGTCTGGCGACATCTACCCCAGATCCAGAGAAAACGGTTGCTGAGCTGTTCACTTCTTTGCATCAGTAAATATTTCAGATGATCTCTTTGAATATTTTCTCTCTTATTTAAAAAAACTTTTTTTCTACTGTTGTCTCTTGTGATTCGCTTATCCATAGAATATCTGACAGCCATTTTTCCGTATTTTGCGCACACACACACAAACACACAGACAACCATTTTGTAAGACCCTAGACTAAAGTCAAGGGAAAAACTTTTAATGACGCTTGTACGGCATTGATACATAGTGATGTTTTCGGTCTTGAGTGTTACGAGTCTCTTGACGGTAGTGAGCTTTCAACATACCTGAGCCAGAGTCCAGAAACATAGAGCACGGAAAAAGATAAGAAAAGAAGAAAGCTAAAAAGTCGAAATACCCAGGTCCATTTTTACGACTGCCGTAAACGACCCTATACAGTCCTATACGACCGCCGTAAATCACCGTTTGCGGTCGTATTTGCGCCGTAAACGGCCGTATATGGTGCAAATACTGCAGTAAACGGCCGTAACTGCGCGGTGACCGTTTACGGCCGTTAACGGTCAGTTTAGAAAAAATTATTTTTCGTTTCCAGCATCCTCTACAGAAGATGTATACAGAGCTTCAGGACGTCACCCATGTGTTGTGTCGTCTTGAATACCACTTACCACTCAGATATATACAATTATAATTGTTTGCCAGGATTGAGATTCGAACACACGTATCTGGAATTATAAATCGAGCACATTCTGGTTATACCATACTGCTTGTAAACAACAGTATGAATTTGCTATTCATATTTGCAATAAATACCATAAATTTCTACGCGTGGGCTCCCATGTATAAAAATACCTTACCACAGCTTCCGTCAAACTTCCATATATAGTATAGAAATCATAGTTTGCTGAAGTGGAAATAAATTCTAAGGTGCCGCCGAGAGATTGGCCACCAACTGCCGTTCCTTTTGCCGTTTTGAGAACGTTAACGCGCGGTTTTTTGGATCTGGATAGTTGATCAAAAGAACAATTTGATGCCGTCGTAAACCGTCGTATTTCGTCGTGATACAATCACCGTATACGGTTGGCGTATATCGCCGTACGTGACCGTGTACGGTCGTTTACGATCGTGTCTATTGGACCTGGGTAGTCTAATCTACTTTTAAACTGCTTTTAAGTAAAGATTTTTTACAAATCCAGAACCTTCAATGATCTAGCCCTTTTCGTTTAACGTGCTTATCGTTGTGCCTCCAATGGTTCACAGTATTTTGTATATATATTATCATAAACAAAACAACAATAATCCACTTTCGGAAGTACACAAGCTTTGTAAACATATTGAGAATAACAATTGGCTGACGATACGAATTAGCTATATATTTGAGTTAAACGTAGATACTTTGGTTCCGTATTTTAATTTTGAACAATTTAAAACTTTTTAAAGTTTAACAAAACAAACCATTCGACCTCTTATAATTGAGGTCTCCTTCAGTGAACCATGTTCACTCTTAAAATACGAAACCAAAGTATCTAAGTTTAACTCAAAAAGAAAAGTTTTATAAAGATGACAGACCAACGAAGATTATTGTATTATGAAATGTACAATTTATTTTAAAGCTAAAAGAAGCTTTAAGAAGTTCGATTGTCAAAAAACATACTATTATTTAATAATGAATGCAGTATTGTTCCTTGTTTAGAAATCACTGTCTAATTGCCGTCAGACATCTGAATATAAATATGCTAAACAAAAATCTAGTCACTGTCAGACATAAAACAAGATTCGTTGACCACCTTTTCTCCTGCTTACTCGGTTAACTTTAACGTTGTTGTTCTATAGTCTTTAGATCAAGATCACGTAATCAAGTACTCCTACACTTTACACACTACATATAGCGTTCACTACCAAATAGTGCTAAAAAAGCTTTCTTTTCAAGTTTTATTTTCCTGCTGAATCCTCTCCGTTTGTTTTAGATTTTACTGCATGCAAATCCTTGCTTAAACATAGCATCCGTTCAAAATGCATTAGATGCAGTTGAATACCACAATGTTTACTACATCCTTATGTTTATTTAGATCGTCGACGAACGTCAAAATGCCGAATAACGAATATATCGGGTCACCCCATATTTGTTCGCCGAAAAAGTCATACTCTACATGCCTTTTTAGGGATGTCAAGCTTTGACCTACCTTGCAATGAAGGAACTTCCAACTTGTTTTTCTTAACATTCATAGAGTTAACATCGACGTTTACTATACCAGAGGAAGGAGAAGCTCGAGTAGCATAAGTGCTGATACACAGAATTTGTCCTACTATTTGTACAAGGGCCGGCCAGCTGTCGCAATGTGGTCGAAAATGAGAAAACGGGATTCACTGTTTTACTTCTTCTGAACGCAAAACAAAACGAAAACTTCATTTATTATAGATGAACATGAAGCTGAAGAGCTGCCTAATCTGATGAAAAAAGAATTAGTCCAATATCTATCTTCCTCTTTGCGTTCGAAGCCCATCTTTGAAGGTCGTTTACTAAGAATAGCCAACTTTCAGGCATCACAGCACAAAAAATCTTCAATCAAATTTTTTCATTTTACTCACATTTGCAGTACTCATCGAGCCCTCCAAAAATGGTATCAAACTGTTTGTGGCCGTTTCGTTTTCACCTCGTTTACCTGTCAAAAAAGTCAAAAATATCGATTACTGTTTTCACGTGCTTTCCGTTCTCTTGTCAAATATCACTCGAGGTTAAACAGTTCTTAATTCGCGCTCCATCTTATTTTAAGCTAAGCTAATACAAAACTGGTTCCACTCAATCAGCGCAGCTAAAAGTTTCTCAGTAAATTATCGTCAGCATTCTTGCATTGAATGAATATACGTATTCTCATTGGACAACAGTTGATCAATAAAATTTTGAGCAAATAGCATTCCAATAAACAGCTTTTCTCTATAACTACTTTTAAGCAATTTGCTTTTAATTTAGCTTAAAATAAGATGGAGCGCGAATTAAGAACTGTTTAGCTTCGGGTGCTATTTGACAAGAGAACAGAAAGCACGTGAAAACAGTAATCGATATTTTTGACTTTTTTGACAGGTAAACGAGGGTGAAAACGAAGCAGCCAAGAACAGTTTGATACCATATTTGGAGGGCTCGATGAGTACTACAAATGTGAGTAAAATAGCGGAAAGAAATTATCTGTTTGAAATATTAAAGAAAAATGGTTATCCGAATCACATAATTCGTCGGGGTGTTCGAGAAGCCAAAGAAATTCATAAGACACTAAACAATCCTCAACCTCATTCACCCAAGAAGAAAGAAATCTTTACCAAACAAAAACCTTTTGTAGCTTGTGTAAACGGGTGATAATTTGAATCGTCATGTATGATGAAGAAAAGAAGCGCCTATGTCTGCAATACTTTGGAAATTAAACAAAAATTATTAAAATAGTGACATAGTCAATGATATTGAGATCATATTATTTGGCTCCCCGAGTAACTCTGTTGAACTGTGAAAGAAAGACAGAAGAATATCCCACCTTGCAGCTGCTGCTTCACGTGTAGGGTGCTGCCAATGGCA